TCGAATGACTATGTGGTGCTCAGCTTTCTTTCGCTATGGGGCGTTCGATTCTGGCTTTAATAAGAGCTATCGCTATGCGCTTATGGTGTGATTTTTCAAACCGAAAGCTGATCTGACGGTGAAGGCGAATTACCCCTCAAAGCATAGAAAAGTAATTTTCGTAAGATAAGTAATATTTTTGGGGAGCTTTTTATGGCATCCTCCGGCTTTCTTTTCGGTCAAAAAGTAACAGTCGCAAAACCATGGCATGATCTGGACGGTCGCCAAGCGAAGCGGGCAAGCAGCGCTTGTCTATTTGTAAGCGGCAAGTGTCTCACACATGGTGGCAGGGGGCTTTCAAGATTTTCTCGGCTTGGTCGAGTGAGTAAGTGGTATCCAACTTTCTTACGCCAATTTCTCATGATCCAAGGATTAATTAAGATTACCGTTATCCGCTTATGATATGAATTTTATCGAATCAAAAATGACTTGGCACCGCACATAGACGAATTACCCATCAAAACATCGCCAATTGAGCCGTAGCTCGCGAGCCGACGCGGTCCGCGGTTCGTCCGTCGCATGAGCCGGAAGTTCCGTGTTTGCCCCTTTGGTTTGCATGGGGAACGTCTGGAAATGTGACCTGCAGGAAAGGGCGCGCGTAGCCGATTGAAGCTATGGCCACATCTCGGCAGCGAGAGGCCGAAGCAGCACAAAATTTAACGTAAAATTGGCTGTTTTCAGGTTTGTGGTGTCAAGTGACACATGCCACACGAGTTGGAAAGATGAAGCTGACCTTTTTTCGATGGTTTATATGCTTTGGTTCACATCTCGGTTCCCGGCGCAGATTGAAGCATGAGTGAAGTTTCAAAGCATTGGCAAATGTGCCAGCTACAGTTGCATTTGCATGACGAGTTTGTGTGACGCATGGTTACACCGCAAATTATCGGAAAATTGGCGAATGTTAGGATTTCGCAAAAACCGCCGAGTGAAAGACGCTGCCGTTAATACTGAACATTTTTGCATTCAAAATTGCACCAGCGTGATTCCGATTCTCTCTCTCTCTCTCTCTCTCTCTCTCTCTCTCTCTCTCTCTCTCTCTCTCCTCTCTCTCTCTCTCTCTCTCTCTCTCTCTCTCTCTCTCTTCTCTCTCTCTCTCTCTCTCTCTCTCTCTCTCTCTCTCTCTCTCTCTCTCCTCTCTCTCTCTCTCTCTCTCTCTCTCTCTCTCTCTCTCTCTCTCCCTCTCCCTCTCCCTCTCTCTCTCTCCCTCTCTCTCTTTCTCTCTCTCTCTCTCTTCCGCCCTTGTGTTGACCGTTCTCTGTTTCGCATACGACTTGAATTAGGGTTATGAGTGACATACAGCTCTTTACGCCGCGATGAAAAGGTTCTGCGGACTTCCCGGTCGCCACCATATAGTTCTTTTCTAAAGTAAAATGGCTGACGGCACACCTGCGTCTGGGGGCAGTATAACACTGGGTACTCCAATGTTTTGCCTAGCAAGCATCAAAATATACTGCTACTATGCCAGAATTGAGGTTAAGACCAGATTTGAGATATTGCACCGGAATATGGTGACGCTGAGCTAGCAACATGTCAGGCTTGACTGTGGCGATCAGATGTAATCGCGTTTATCAGTCGTAGAGCGATTGAAGTTCGGTGTGGTAGTAGGGGGCTAGGGGCTGTTGTCTCGCATTACATCGCAGTAATTTCACATGCATCTAGGTTAAACTAATATGTTTTGGTTTGTGCCCACACACATTGTCTCAGTTTGCACATGGCTTAATGTAAGCGTTCCGTTTTGTAATTGATCAGATTGTGACTCAGTTACTGCGCAGTGATTCAGTTAAGAACAGTGTGGCTTAGGTTACCAGCTGTTGAGTACATCATGATAATTGGCTGGTCAAAATGTTCTAAGGTGTATCCACGCTGGACCTAAAAATATTGTTGTTTTCAAAAAGAAATAGTTGCATGAACATGGACTTGGATTCAGTGATCTGCTTGTCTTGGAGAGTCAAGGCTTCTAGTGGTGTTTTTGACAACAATACGTCCTGCAGATCTAGCTTAGCTGCCCGTTTCATTCCAGCTGCTTCATATTTTTGCCCTGGAACCAGTAGACGGTAGTGAAGGTCATGAATAACAAGGCGTGGTGGGAAATAGGAAGATGTGTATGTTCAGTCACCAATTATCTATTGTGCAGCTTTTTGTGAAAGCTAGCTTTTGGGATTAAGGTGTTAAGTGTGGTCCATGGTAAAAAATTGGCATAATTATGTCAAAAACCGGCTTTTTAATGTATTTCGGGAGCATGTTCACACAGTCCCAGGTCTTTCAGACCTTTCAGGCATCTCAGATGATGCAGATAAGTATTTTACACGTTTACATTTCACGGTGACTATGCACTTCCAGCTCGCCTCATGACACCTACCGTTTTAATATCAATTGTCATGCTGTCAAGCACAGCTGCTTGCAAAGCAGGGTGTAGCCCGAGCGTAGCTTTCTATCCAATAACGGTGGTGGACGCTCCATTCACCCAACTTGCAGAGGTAAGTGGATCTAATTTGGAGAAGCACATTTGTGTGCACCTCTCGGGTACATTTTGCCATTTTTTCTTGCTAAGTCCCCCTGAACTATTTTGTTAAACTACGCATTTATTCCCAAGGCCCGAGAAACAGGCGTCCCATGGTGGCAGAATATACACAGGGGACAGAAGGCGGGAAAGAGGGATCCCTCAGGCTTAAAAATCATGGCGTGTGAAGGTGACCCACCATGTGCCCGCGGACCGACGACAGATAGTCGGCGCATTTGCTGTTTGGACATCCAGGCGAGCACGGCGTCTTGCATTCGTGCCGCAGTGACAGCTTGCTGCAGACGTTTGCGGCGCACGAGTTGAGACGATGCATGAGACAGTCTGACGTCATCACAGACCAACACATCCACTGTCCCGACTGTAAACCGATGACCAATATCTTATCATTGGTCAAGGAGATCCCAACCTGAGAACCCGTCGTCCTCTGTGGCCACACTATCCTGACAACTATTCAACTGTTTGTCACGCTATTTGTCAAAAGCGGCGACACTTTGTCGAAAAGGGTGCACAGCTGATAGCAAGGAGGCGTGGGGAGATTTTTTAGGGATGGATAAACTCTATAAAAGCTCTTTCTGCAACTCTGGTATTGCCCCAGTACGCCGTGAGATAGCGCAGTGATGGTTTTGATACGGTCGCTGACCAAATATGTGCTCACTCCGAACATGCAGCGTCTTAGGTCTGCACCGAACCGGAGTGCTCACCGGCCTCAGGCTCGCTGCTTCAGACACTCCATACACTAAGATCTGCGCCCTAGCTACCAGGGCTTTTGGCATGGCCAGTACATGATAGTTAAGTGTAAATTAACCGCCGGCAACAAACATACTAGTGCATATCATGACGCACTGCATTTTACCGTCTTTGTTTTGTGTGCTCCATTGTTTTTAGAATTATATTTCAACGAGTTGTGATAGATTTGGCTCCAGGGACAATATAGGCTGTTTCCAATTTTGTCGGTGACAGAAAATATACTTTTTTCCCTCGGCCATGAAATGGAGCAGCGATAGGAAACTCAGTCAGCATAATCACTTTTTATTAACACACGCATAAGAGCGTTATTTCGGAAGGTATGTGCAAGTTGACACCTCAGCTGACATCTAAGGCCAACTAGTCAGGGTATATAAATGTGACTTATGTGAAATAAAGGCCAAATAGTTAAGTGTCTGTGCCATCATCTACACAATTGTGAAACCCACATATTCACACAGCAAGTGTCCACATATTTAAAAGCGAGGTGCCTCTCCCGCTAAGTCCAGCTTGCTTGAGGTGCAAAAAATTCAAAAAAATGCCAAAAAAGTAAAGATTAAGACACCCTGTTATCTGGTAAACTGACGACCGATTTCATAGCACAACTTTGAACTGATCATGCCGAAAAATGGGGAGCTGGAAAACTTGCTCACTTAGGTATGCAAGTTCTTCGGTGCCATCAGATTTGGCGAGCTCAGCACACACGGACTGGGCGCAGACAGAAAAGTGTGGGTGAATATGCCATCCACAAGCCGCTTATCCACCTCGGCACCTCGGCCACCCGAGCCAGTTACCAGCTCTGATCCACATGAATGCCATGGTACTCGAGCGGAAGCAGGGACGCGAGCCGCTAGGACAGCGTGAGCAGTAAACGAGGAACGTTGAGTGGCATGATGAAGCACACCACAACCAAGTGGCCAGCATACACTCAAATTATCCACTTTGTAAAACATGTTTAAATCAAGATGAATCAAAAGGTAGATCAACGGATATTCATCAAGTTCTTCTGCTCAGATGATCTGACCCAAGCTAAAGAAACGATAGCCAGACCTCTCAGCAGTCAATACCGAAGTCGTGTGTCTTCGAGATGGCTTGTAATCAGTGTGTGTGGTAATAAGTACTTCCATCCGTCATAACAACCTTTCTCAACGACAGAAATGGCCAAGTTTGCTACTCATTTCCATGGGAATTGCAAGTTTCTGTCTCAGCTCTCTTGGGCTTTTGCGCCATCTGCATTCATTATGGCAACAGCGATGTCTGTCGGCGCTTCGATCGTTGCCAAAACAAATAAGATATCTTACTGGCTCTACCGCGCTTTTAGCAGAGTCTGCTCTACCGGAATACATTCCTGAGTTCGGCCACATCTCTGATCGGATTAGGGGCCGATCCCAAAATTGCGCCTCGCTCCCAGCAGTCCACCCTGACTCCCCAGCAAGGGCTACGAGTAGAAGTTGGAGCAGAAATGAAACAGAGTCCAGCGCAAGTTAGCGGCAGTGAACTGCTCGGGCGGCGGTGCGCCGGGTTCGGGAACAGCGACACATGCTCCGGCGCCCAGCCCGATCGATGCTCCCGGCCGGCCAGCACACTGCTGCCGCCTGTCGGGAGGCTGGCCAACTAGCGGGAGGCGCGGCCGGTGCTCAGTGCGCGCCGGCGGGAGGCGGGGAGGTGGTGGCAGCACACGGCCCGCGCCGGCAGCGGCAGCGCCCCCGGCCGGACAGGATGGCGGGCCGCGGCCGGCGGGCTGCCCCTCTCGCGCTCCTGGTGCTCCTCTCACTGGCGGGTAGGTGCTGGAACGGCCGCGTCCTTTGAGCACTCGAGCGGAGCGGGTGGACTATGTGCGGTGAACAGCCTGGTGAAGTGGTCAAAGGCTGGGCAGGGCGTCTGGACCCGTGTATTTCGTTTGTAGGGCGTTCGGCAGGAAACATGCTTGCAAACTCTTGCTTTGAGGTCGCCGGCGAACATCGTTCACGCTGAGCGTTCTATCGAACAGCTTGGTGCCGATAAGGCTGAAACTTGGTGCGGCCTGAAGGCGTCTCCCGAGACCTTTTCACAGCAGTGCTCACGCTTGAGATTCAGTAGACAAGTGGAACGCCCCATGGCGATATCCTGACTGTCGGGTCTTCGGCGCGTTTTAGAGAGCTGGGATAAAGGGGGTAGGTAATGAAGACATTCCATATAATTTTTATTCAAGCAGCCGACAGCTGAGCTTTTAAGTGTGCAATCTTGACATTATTTGATAGCAAGGGTCGTCAGTTTGTTCGCCAACTGTCGCACATCTACGCATGGCGTTGATGCGACGTCGATAATGCTGTCGTGCTTGTTCACGTGTTTGTACGGCAAGGCGCTTTATGTTGAGGGCCGCGGTGCAAACAGGAGTTCTCTCGCTTCCTTAGCTGCTGTCATGGAGCCAGTGATGGCTCCGTTCCGTGGAAGCTGCGATGTGTGTCTGGTCTGCGCTGCCGTTAGAAGGTGACTTATGACTTAGCTCACGGGATCAGATCAAATTAAATGGTTTACGCATGACCATGCAAGGTCGATGTCGATTCTGGACACGCGATGCCTTATTTCAATGTTCGCGATCATTGCTGAACGTCAGCGAAGTCGTGGAGGTCAGGACCAGGCATGTGCCTAGATCCCAGAACTGTACTGCGAGATTAGATACTTAGGGTCGATCTCAGATCTTCAGAGATTCGTGAGTCCTTGATCTGGAATCTTCCATGATCCATAAATTATTTGGACATTTTGTTGAAAGATTTTGCTAGGTCCGGGCATCATTTTCAAACTAAATCGAACAATCTTCCACTATCTTGTTTCTGCTGAAGGGTCTTTTGGGATTCAGAAGTTCTCCCGATACTGCGGATGGGTTCTCCGCGATCTGCGATCACTTTTCTTGATCCTCGCGGGCCTGAGACCCTTTAAGAAGGTATCACAACAATCAACATTCGATGTATAGTGTTCTCTAAATATTCAGGCCCAATATGGCCCCGACGCCCCCCATGTGCTCCGAAAACAAATGTCCGGTGCTGGTCGACATTTCATTGAGCTCTACTGTGATCCACACAGCCAGCGACTCAGCTCGGGCACGTGAGAAGGTGCCCTACCACACCAGGCGGAGCACAAGAAGCGTGAAGCACAAATTTCCCAGACATCCGTCCATTATTGTCAAGGCCTGAACGATAACCCATTGACTCAGCCATCCATCGCCCTGCAGCGATCGATGTGGTCCCAAAGACGTCTCATTTGTCATCGGGTACACTGTTTACGCTGATACCGTAGCGACACCGATACGTTGCCCATTCCGGGTCAGTTCCGCTGACTCGTCCTTAGACGCTAAACTTTGCATTTGGGACGGCCGTCGCGGTGGAAATTGGCCAATCAGAGTCCCCAGACCTCCGCCCGAGGGCGCAAAGCCTGTCTGAAAGCCAACGTGATCCCAAGGCGGGCCACCCGGAGGTTTACCAGCAATAGCGGTACGACACCGCGCCACACTACGGTCGCCCCTCGCCAACACGACCTCGATTACATGCGGCGCGCTGGGGCCCAACTGGCCGGATTGTACCCACCCGCAGCGCGGAGCTGTGGTGGATTGGGGAATGACACCCACCGCGTGGAGCTGTGGTGGGTTGGGGAACGACACCCACTGGGCGGAGTTGTGATGGATTGGGGAACGACACCCGCTGGGCGGAGTTGTGATGGATTTGGGGAATGACACCCACCGCGCGGAGCTGTGGTGGATTGAGGAACGACACCTACTGTGCGGAGTTGGGGTGGATTGGGGAACGACACGAGGTGTAGATTTGAAACACCGGTGCATCGCGGTGGTTTGAAGCCGCGAATACATGCCTTCCAGGAATGTGACAGACGCCGCGTTCCGGCGATCTGAGCTGCCATCAGAGTAGTCGACCGAATGCAGGTTTCTCAACGCGCATCCAGACGGAGCCTCTGATCTTCGCCGTGCACCACACACGAGTCGTCGCTTCTAGCACTAGTCTAGCTGAAGCCATCTGCGCTATGCTTGCATACGCCCGTGCATTGCGCATGGTCGCATCGTAGATGGTGCTCATAGATTATGCAAAGATGGTGCTATCCGGACGTTAGTACAGTGCTGGGGTACCGGCACGCCCTGCCCGTTCGTCCGACCGACGCGCACCGCGGCCGCCCGTTCCACCGACCGACGCGCACCGCAGCGGCCCGCCCGGCTAAACTCGTCTGCGGAGACAATGCTCCAGAGAGCCAAAAGGTCACTGTGTAAAAGCACTCTCAGAAACTCATACGCGAGCCTACCCGCTCCACCCATTTGTAAAGAAAAACACCTGTGGCCTTCTTGTTTCAGCAGCCAGTGTGGAGATACAGCGGATCAACGGGTTTTCATTTCATGAGCGAGACGCTGACTCCCCATGTTTTCTGGGAACTGCATTCCGGACTACTAGATCCTACGGTTCTAAGAATTGGTAGGTGAATTCACCTACAAATTAGTTGGATGGGATAAGACATGGAATAACTGCTGTTCGGCTCGTCCTCGTCTGGTACGTTAGCATGTACCAGAGCGGTACGACCAGTTGTATTAGATTGTTTCGATGAACGCATGATGCCGAAATATTGTAAGTTAAAAATAATGTCGAAGGATTCTTCTTGGGTCGTAGACCTGTTTGAAGTGTTTGACGAATCCCTCTGCTATTGCTTCGATAAAGGCATGTTGCCTAAACATCGACCAATCTATTTCTATTCTCTTGGTTTTTCTCCGAGAAATAGGGGTATTACTATTGTCTTATCTATTAGAACGTTGTAGCCAGTTAATTTTTCGGCCTTCGTCAGCTGCTATTTGGGTGTTGAGAGCAACTGGCTGATGTCTGGCCTTCAGCCATGCATGCGTTACAACCCGAATTCTCTTCCTAGATTGTTAGGATTCCAGGGTTTACAGATTGCAAGGCCAGCGTCCTACCAACTGAGCTTACGAGGGGGTTTGACGGTGTGGTGATGTCAGACATATGGCGAGATCCCAGAAAGCTCACCGGAATCGGATCGCTAAGATCTAGATCCCGATTTTGTGGGATCCTGGATTTTTAAAGTTAAAAATAATGTCGAAGGATTTTTCTGGGGTTGTAGACCTGGTTTGAATTGCTTGACGAATCCTGTCGGATCCTGAATCCGCTTGATTTTTTTGAAAGGATTTTCGAGATCCTGGGTCTTGTTTGGAACTTTGTGCTAGAATCATCGGAGGTCTTGATTTAAAAAAAAAACTTTCTAAAGGATGTTATGAGATCTTGGAATCTTTGAATTTTTCTGGGAAACCTAGGGTTTTAGAGTTTATTTTAGATGGCACCAAATAATGTTATATGATCCATTTGTATAGCTGTGGTTTAAGTGGCTTCGATAGGTATGAAAGCCAGCCCGGACCATCCCTGCATAGGTTGGCAGAACTGTTTGAATTTCATTATTTGAGCCTCAACTTATATCACTGCTATCAAGATGGTGAATGTCATACCTTTCCCCGCTTATTGGTGACCTGTCATCTTGTTGGCAATCAAATTATATCTCATAACTACAGATATGACAAAATCAGCTTCCAGTATTTTGTGGTGTGGCTAGCACTAACGATGGCATTTGCACTTTGTCAGTTATCCAAATATCTTCATTAATTGCAAGTGCTGTGCAAGTGCAAGTGCAAGTGCTGCTGCATTTACATCCTATTTCTTCTTTAACTTTATAAGGTGCAGGTATATTCTACCGCTCCTAGTGCAGTATACTGCCTTAGGAAAAGTATAATTGCAAAGGCGAGGTGAACTCATTTGACAGGTCATAAAATAGGTATCTTGACATGAGACGAAAGCTCAGTGCTCACCTGTCAATTTTCAACGTGAGAAGCGTCTTCAACATGCTAAGTATACAGAACTACAGTTTTAACGCCAATGTTATGATCGAGCGGTTGGGCCATTGGCCCAGAATGAGGTGCATTGAGTTTTGATCCCAAGTGATAAAAGTACTTATTTACCTTAGGATGCCCCCTCTAATTCCTCCAGCACAGCAGCATGGCTACAAACCTTCGTAGTACTTACAAGTGACTACTGAATACGGCTCACACATAAAATTTTGCTGTTTCAGTTTTTTTTTACAAAAGCGAACGGTGATATACACTCACTTCAGAAACAGCTCATGCTGAGATTAGAGTAACGCCATCGGTTTTACCAATGGACTTTCGCCCCTGTGCCACATGGGTGTGGCTGTAAACCTCAGGGAGGGGAGGGATGGGGGGGGGGGGGGAGGACTGGGAGGCGGGTTTTCTTCTGAGTCACTGATCATGTAGCCTTTTGTGCTGTTTATATATCATGTGATCAGGTGAAATAGGACCGCACCGGACGTGACCGAATGTGGCATATGGCTGGACACCACAGAACGGGACCAGACGGAACAAGATGAAGCGATATGGGACCAGGCGGAACAAAATGAAACGAGATGGGACCAGGCGGAACAAATACAACGGGATGAGGAATCGGGTGTCGAGGAAACGGAATCGGGTGTCGAGGAAACGGAATCGGGTGTCGAGAGATAGGATCGAATGAAACCGGACGAAAAGTTGGATCGGGTGGGACTGGAAGGAGCCCGAAGGGACCAGACAGGATCGGAGGCGATGGGACTGAACGTCAGGGGACGTGACCAATAGAAACAGAGCGTGGCCGGACGGAACCGGAGGAGACCAGGACGGGACCGATCTGGTCCCATCCAATCCTGCATGGTCCCATCTAGTCCCATCTGGCCTCATCTGCTTCAATCCAGTCCCAT